ACACAATAAGCCCAAACCAGGGGAGTCTGCAGATCTCCGACACTGAGATGGATTCGTTACTGCACCGGGTATATTAGCAACAAAAACCAGGGGGACCATCAGGGTTGAACCGGATGATCATTCTGAGGATAGTAGTAAACCGCACTTAAGTCCGAATAGAGCTATGAGCGCACATGGAGGAGGCTCACCAAGACTGCGGATTGCGAAATGAGAGCGAAAAGCCCTTGACTGCGGTACACCGGTGTTTTTCCACCGTGTACTAAACTGGATTATTCTATTGTAGCTTTTATGCATTCAACTGGATATATTCCATCAGAAATGTCTCAAAAAGCGAGTCTTCCAAGAACATGTGTGTATCCTGCTCCAGAATTGTGGGCCTTAGGGTCAAAGAGATCCGTTGTGATGGGCATGATGGTTGGCTCCACCTGAAATGCACCCAAATCGGCGCAGATAAATACGAATGGCTACAGAAATGCCTCTCTCCATTGCTGCGGATCGTGTGCTGCAGGTGCTCGATCATTTCTTCCAAGGAAGACGCATCTTCACTTCCAAAACACTGTCTAACCTCCACAACGCCGGCTCTGAGGTAAAAGTGGCCCCTTCTTATGCAGATCTCATTTTCACTCCACTTACAAAAGCAGCTCCTGCAGCCGCACCGCAGCAGAAGCAGTCTGCTGCATTGCCCCTACGGACAGACTCAGCTCCCTTATCCACGACATCCAGGCAAGATGCCTGTAACATGTAACGGACAGTTGAGAGATGCCCCCGCGATTCGCAGGAACCTATGCAGCAGAGGAAGCTCCCTCCAAGATCTCAGTACATTGTTGTTGTCACTATTTCGGAGGTTGAGGCCACCACGGCCCAGGCTCGCCTGGACCACGACCTGCAGCTGCTGAGGTTGCACATGGTTACCTTGTCGGTACGTTCGAACTGGTTGCGTGAATCTTGTTCTCTGAATAAACCGTGAATTTTGAAGGTTATATTGTGTGAAACCAACTGTACTGTGGTTTCACTTTGGTATTTTACTCCAATAAGTGTAGTTTTACCGTTTTCGCACTGTTTTTCGGTGTATACTGCTTTTCGAAAAGGTTTTAGCCGTTTCGGATTATCTTTTTACTCGAAGTTTGAATTTGTTCAAAGTTAGCTCGTGTTTGAGGTATTTTTGTCCATTTTCTCTCGCTGTAAACCGTGTTATCAATAGTAGCATGCCTAGAGCTGCCTTTCCCTGCTTGAGTGAGCAATGTGGAAAGCGGGTAGTTGATGGCATCGAATGTGAGGTTTGTGAGAAATGGGCACACGCAAATTGCTCTAGGATAACACCAGAGAGATATGCCGTGTACTGCAAAGATCCAGGGTTGCAGTGGGTCTGTCAATCATGCCTAGAAATAGCTAAAAGAGCATTACTAGAGACCGTTGCCAACGGGATACTTCAAGAGAAACTATCGGTTATCAGCCTAACCAAAGAGAGGAAGAAAATGAATCCGCCGAAAACATACGCGGATGCTGCAAAAGCCAATGCTGACCCCACCATCCGGGGATGCAAGGGGAGTAGCAAAGCT